GTATTATACACAGGTTGTTGATAATTAGACTTTTAATGCTTTTTAAGCTGAAAAATTACGACTGTATTATACTCGAGATTGTATTATACATGAATAAATATGGTAAATTGATTTCTGTGGTGGGTATAAAAAACACACAACAAAAAATATTCCGTTATGTTTGGCCACATTTTCAAAGCTCCAAAGCTGAGGGACCAAAGAGCCACATGTGGCCCCAGAGCCGCAGGTTGCAGACCCCTGACTTAGGGAAATACACTTTTATATACTTTAATATACTTAATGCCATGTACCTAAAGTATAGTTCTTTGTAATTAGTTTATAAACTTAAAAAGACATTATAAAAGTATAATTAAAGTATACTTTATATAAAATTAAAAACAATGTCCCAGTTTAGTACGAACAGGTATTAAATCAGTACACTTTCTAGTACACTACAAGTTCATGGTGCCTAGTATACTTGATTTTCTTGAACTTATACTCAAGTATACTTATTAAAATAAACTTCAAGTATACTACTTTTTGCTAGCAGCAAATACAACAAAGTTCCCACGTCTCAGTAAGACAACCAAGTTAAAAAAAACATAATAAATTCATTCAAATTACCTGAATTTCCCCTTGGCGGGACAATAAAGGCTATTTCTATTCTATTCTATTCTATTCTATTCTATTCAATAACAAATTTAAAAGATCAGGTGCAATCTAAGTAGTTAGTCTCAAGACCTCTCAGTTTCGAGATAAAAGCACTCAGTTTCCAGTCTTTCTGCTGTAGAAGGTGCAGAATGGACAAAAGCATTTTTCCCAGTTCAGTCTGAGAAAGTGGAACAGAAAGCATCAAACAGTTTTGCAAGCCTAAATAGTAAGACCCAGTACTTTTTTTTTCAATCAAAGTACAAATATAAGAAGATGTCCATATATATGAATGTATTCTAGTGGCAGAGCTCAGAGTTACCATTCTACACTTGGGTATTACTCACTGTGATGTGTCAGTGCCTTACAGTTTGTAAATAACCTCAAAAAAGCATGATAGACAATGTTAATCTTTTGAAGACGTGTTCATAAACCATCTTCATAATCCAACACTGGTAAAAAAGAAAAAAATTGCAGCCACTAGTCATATTTTTTCCACGTTAAAAGAAAAGCACAACTTATTTCAAAATTAAAAACCTAGTTTTAGTCTGAAACTCTTCACCATTTTCTCCTGAATAAAAATAACCAGTCTAAAACCAATGTCCTTAACCTCAGGAGGCTATATGTAGATGTTTTTTTTAGAAATATGAAATTAGGGAAGTACAAATTTCAAATAATAAGTAGTGAAAAATTTTTTTTAAACAATATCAACAGAAAAAAACTACAGTAGACCTCCAGTATACAGCGGGTAAAATAAGTATTGAACACATCACCATTTTTCTCAGTAAATATATTACTAGAGGTGCTAATGACATGAAATTTTCACCAGATG